TTAACGTAGAAGATATCCATCATCACTCACTCCATGTGCTGGCTTGTGAGCAGTTTTAATTATATTTATGATATTTGTAAAAAAACGCAATACACAAAAATTATTTTTAAAAAATTATCTCAATAAGATTCTTTGTCATAAATGTTAAATGATCTTTCTAACTATATAACATCATTACAGGCGATATTTTTTTCTTTCTCTTAATGTTACTTACTCGGATCTTGCTATTTTTGAACTGGTTTTCTTTATTATTTTTGTTCTTTTGGAGTAGTTGATAAACAAACGCGTGATAATTTTTTGTGCAACACATAGGCCAGCACGCGATGGAGATTTTATCTTTCTATATATACAGTTGATTAGATTATTAGATTATTTATCAGTGTTTTTTCTCTTGCTCTCTTAATAATAATAACGCGTACAAGATTTTTTTTTTGTGTATGGTAGTGCAAATATTCTTTATAAATAGCCCAAATATCTTATTTTATAAATGTAATTACGTGGCGGAGATTTAAAAACAAAATGTGTCAACATTATATAGGTAATTATTATGTTCGCTCACATATATAAGATTCTTCTTCATAAATGATTGGTATAATAATAAATAATAATAAATAATCATTATAAAGGCAAAACAAGAGCAGATTTCCCATCTTCGATTATTTTTTACGCGTACTTCCCTGCCGTGCTTTCCTTTGGAGAATAAAGGAGAGGAAATTTACAGGCGCTACTTATTCCAATCTTCCTCCACAGACGCACAAGGCTAATCTGACCTATCGACCCCGACGAAGCAATGATCTAAACCCAGGGGGGGAATGTGGTTCTGGGTTATTAGCTTGCATCATTGTCAAGTGGATTCTAGTCTTCCCTTGTGGAGCTATTGAGGTCTTTCACTTGTAACCAAAAAAATCTTTTATAATTGTGGTGTAGTAAACCTTCATCACGTTATCACTTTTCAGTATCATGAGTGTCATGATATCTCCAAAATAATTTAACTTTGCTGAAGCCTGAATTTGGATCGTTGTGTGATACATTCGATGTTATTGTCTTAACAAATAATTGCATCGTCCAAGTAACAGTTTTACTAAGATCATGCAGATATGGAATTGTAAATTTTCTTCTACTGTGTTTGCCAAAGGAAAGCATAGCAAAGAAATAAAGAAGTTGGCCAAATTAGAAGACATCACTCCACAATCTGATTTCCAAAGCTCCGTGTGCTGGCTTGTGAGGTTATTAATAAATAACATATTAATGCCTTTTCAGAACCATACCAAATAATGCTTTTAATAATAAAATTAAACTTGCCTAATAATATCTTTGTCCCACTATTGTATAGTTATATATAGTTCTTAAAAATAAATCTGATATTAATCACGGGAGTCAGATTTAAAAAAATATTCCTCTACTACAAACATATGGTTGGATTTTAACCCGCCTCCATAACCAAGATAAGACCCTTAATGTTCTCGTTCCTCGGACTGTGCAATTGTTTCAATTGTTTTAATTGATTTACACAGGTGAAGGTCCCCATATGTTTGGAGGCTTTGTACAAGTGAAAGACCTCAATAGCTCCACAAGGGAAGACTAGAATCCACTTGACA